CTTTTTTATTCCCTCTTTTGTGGTATTCATTTTGGGTTCTTCGTTTGTTCTGGAAGAAGGGGCGAGTATAAAATGTAGGGGTTTCTAGGTGCTCATCTTGAATTTTGGACAAGGTGGGATAGCTTTTGATCGAGGTTGTCTTTACAAAAACAATGGGCTGGATGAGGAGCGCCAAAGAAAACGTTAACGAGAGTGCGGCTTTATCGAGGGAAACTGCGGGTAGAACAAAGGATAAATATGAGCGCTTTGGTGAGCGAACTCGCTTGTAAATATTTATGTTAAATGAGTGAGAGGTATTTTTCAGGACTCTTCATAGCAGCTGTTTTGCGCGACTATGAGACAAAAAAAGAGCGTCATATTAGATCTTCGAAATGGGAAGCTGCACTTCGAATGGAAGCTTGAAATGAGAGAGTACTTACGAAGCTGAGTTCCTATTGGATTAAGTGATAATATCGTCTTTTTGTTGTCCGAATGTCTTAAAAGATGTGGCTGTTATTGTTTCGTTTTGTTGTCGGAGAGAGAATAAATCATGTGCTTGCATAATTTTTTCGACTCTCAATTGTTTTCGCTCTGCTACCTGTTTCTGGTTCGGATTTCTATTTCCTTGGCGAGACAGTTGTGCGACAAAAAATTTGGTACGTCGAAACAATGTGAACACGATAACAAGGGCGATGAACCTCTACGACATTCATCAGGCAGCCAAAGCATGGGTAAACAAAAGCATGGCCGTGGGTTTTGGCAATTTTCCATCAAATTGGACAACACCAGATTTGTATAATCTAGAATGCGCATCAGGATAAAAGCGCGAGTGTATGGGTTGAAATTCTCAGCAACCTATACGCCATTACTCAGTCACGGCACAGCGGTCATCAACTGGATAAACTGCTTCATTGCAGGAGATACTAGCCTTCAAAGTAAGGTAATCATCGTCTCATAGTATTGTGGGGCGTGAAGGTACGATCATCCATTATGAGTTGATGAAAACAGAATAGATAGTCACAACTGTCACGTACCTTCATCAACATTTGGTCAACACGGTTAGAGAAAGACGTCCAAAACATAACTTAGGTACCTACAGAAGGACAACGCACCTCGAAAATTCACTTACGACACCTGTCTAAAATTGGCTGATCTCACTTTGTTCTAGGTTCTTTATCAGATTTAACTCAACAGATTCATTAAAACAAATCTATTACACTACAATTTCATAAGTGACAAATAGTTATAATTACAATTAAATATGCGTCAATATGTTTTACTTCATCTTCATTGGTGCATTTATGGTTTCCAGTTTTGACACGTGCCCGTGTATCTGAAAAAAATTCAAAGAAAAGTAATTAGCACCATAACTAGAGCAATGCATTTCGAAGGAGTAAAATACTTATTCCATCTCTCAAAACTTGCATCGAATTGGTTTTGTTAAGATGCTCTTCCCATTTGCTCAAGTTTCCAGCTTTCTAAATTGAAAATTTACAGGAATTACAATGGCGCAAGAGGATATTCAAGCGTTGCTGAGAGCTTTAGCGCAATTGGATCGCACCTATGCAACGTCTAGGGAGAGCCGTGGGCGAAGACACTGTGTACGGAGGGAACATGTTTCGTTCCTGAGCCCAAGGACAAAGACGTTCGATGAGTGCCTCGCGGTATTTGATAACCATCATTTCCAACACTATACGAGGTTGTCGCCAACAGAGTTTGAGTGCCTTCATGAATACTTGGCTCCTTCGCTGCAACATCGAGTCAGATATGCCTCGCCTGTAACCACTCGTCAAAGGCTCTTTATTTTCATGAGGTAGCAGCTATATGAAAAGTGAACCTCGCACGTCTTAATGATTATCGATTTAAGGTTTGTTGTGCACGGACATACCTTTGGGGCCTTGTCCGAAGAAGTCCATTGCGGGAGGTCGACGGTTCAAAGAATTGTTCACGAGGTGTCGAGTGCTATAAGGAATGGTGAGTAGATAACAGATGTTCCATAATCTATTAAAGACACAGTTCTCGATAATTTTGGGTGATCCAGATTATGACGAACAATGGAAAATAAGATGGAAAATAGTGCGATGAGAGCGGAAACCGCGTGAATAGGTGTTTCCAAAGTGAAGAAAGGTCTCGAAAAATGGTTAAAAAGGGAGCTGGACAAGAGTGGAACCAGGAAAATGAAGAAGAATGGGGCATTTGGAGAGTTATACAATGTGTGTGAGTGCGTAAGTGTGAGTTCTGGTGCGAATAACTGACCACGGTAGGCAAAAATTCATTCGCTCATAAGCAAGGTTAACAAAAAACCCTATTAACAGCAAAAACAGCCCAACTTTTCAGCCTCTTGGGGTAGAGAATTGAATAAGGGATCGCAACAGCAAAAAGAATAGCAGAAAACAAAAGAATAGGAGGAAATCATCATCTGATCACTCGGCGATCAGCTGATTGTGCGCGGGTCTTAGAGCGAAAATTCGCAGTCTGTATCGTCTCGACACTCGTCTGACGTGACATCGATCGAGAGTCGGTAAAGCCACTCACGGCAGCAACAGGGCTTCCACTATGTCCTGACCCTATTGTGAGAGCGAAAGGGTTCCTTCTACCACCCATGGGGGCTGAGCATTCCTATAGGAAGAACTCAGTAACCATTTTTATCGTGAAGCATGCCTTTAAATTTCAATACTCAGAGCGAAGTTTATTCTTCTTAGTGTTGTACCGCGAAGCATTTCCCCCGTTTACAAGACAGCACTTGGAAGAAGTCGCCAGCAAGACACAGGTGAGATACGACTATCCGAGGGCTGCTGGGTTCATGGACGGCAAGCACATAAATATAAAGGTGAGAAAGAATTGATGCCACCACTACTTCCGATATATTGCATCCTACATTGCAGAAGCCGGCTCGCTCTGGAGCGTTGTATTATAATTACAAGGGGACGCATTCCATCATCTTACTCGCCCTGGTGGACTGCGACTATCGTATCCTCGCCTTTGATGTTGGAGCATCAGGCCGAATGGGGGATACGGGTGTTTTCAGGAGGTCGACAATAAAGGTAGAAAAGATCAGTCTGCCTTCAAAACTCATTACAAGTAACTGTTATAGAGGTTAATTGACAACAACGATCATTTGTTCCCTCCCACGCGACCCTTAGGGAATGTTGGCCCAGTACAATACCACATACTGGTGGACTGTGGTTTTGCGCAGGGGTACCGCTATGTGAGGCCTTACACACGGGCCTTTGCGGATACCCCAAGTAAGAGGAGATTCAACGGAAAACACAGCGGGTAAGAACCAGTTTCAGCCCAAAAAAATTGCCGAATAATTTTCGTCGAACAGGGCCCGTCAAATGGTTGAGTCCACTTTCGGAATGCTATGTCGCCGCTTCGGACTCCTGCAAACCACCATTCAGCTGGAGCCTACACATGCTACCGAAGTGGTCACCTCCTTATTGGTGAGAATCATTTTCAGCAACCAGTCCCCTTTTATTTGGCTTTAATTTTCTACTTTAGGTGCTGCACAATTTGCTGATCCGATGGAGGAACCCAGAAAGAGATATGGTGAAACTTCCACCACCGATTCGGGAACTTGATCCTCTTGAAGACGTAAGTGGAGAAGAAGAAAGTACGGCTGAAAGTGGGGCAAGGGCTAGGGAATTGATAACGCGCTATTATGACACCCGCTAGTTACCTTATAAATGGTACAGTCCACGATAAACAGCTTGTGAGATATCCGGCTAGGATGGACCTGTGGACCCCTTGATGTCTTTCACTGTACATATTTTTAGTATTATCTTCCCTATTTTCTTTATCTTGCTGCATTGAATTTTCTTCTAATGGTTGAATGTTGTACATCCAATCGGTTGAACGGCTATGGAAAAAGGATCTCCATTTTATTTTTCGCAAACTCTTCACTTATTTTTGTTTCGCAATCACGCAGGATAGCTGCTATAAAGAGTCTAAAAAATACCTCCCGCTCACTGAAGATAAATATTCGCAGCTACTTTGCTAGGCAGTACGATCATATTTATCATCTCTTCTACCCGCACTTTTCCCTGACGAAGCTGCGCACTCGGACACCTCTTGTATTGCACGCCTTACTGCATCTGTTGTTTCTGTAACAGAAATATTCGATCGGAAATAGATTCGTCTTGTACTATAAAGAACATGCGCACCATCGCTCGTTCTCTTCCGTCCTTTTCCTCTTGAAGTAACCGGTTCCGGACTGCTGGACAACGGGTCCCTCAAAGTGCTTGGTCCGGCTTCAAGTTTCTCTAGAGTTTTGCAAAAGTTGACCTCTGGATCAATATTGGTCATGAGGTTTCTGGACAAAACAGTTGCATTATATGTGTCCGTAGTTGAAAGTAGACTCGCTCACATTTATCATAGAAATCGCGGTGCTCCAGCGAAGATCCATGGCTGCTTCGCCGAAGATCCGGTCGTTTCAGATTTTGCCTTTTTAAAATGATCCCGCAGAGCACGCGACATAGATTTCAAGTCTTCCAATGAAGTTGCGAACGTGAGTGTTTTCATCGGATTGCCCAATTAATGAAGGTGAGTGAGCGAAACACACGAGTAATATTCAATCCTTCGTTGGACATTATTTCATAAATGTTAGCCCAGACCACGCCCCTCTTTCCAAGCATTTGAAGTACTCACAGTTCCTGTCTCAAATGCATCTTTCCTTCTCTCTCGGCTCGATTAGACAAGAACGCGTCTTATCTGAAATTCGACCGCTTGTTTTGGAAAATGATCCATCCGGTGTCTCTGCACTGTTCGCTGGTTACTTCTTCAAAACAAACAGCGCGTTACTGACGCTAGAGACTCGAGACTTGTAGTGAACCCTTTCAAAATCACTTTGCGGTGGTTGAGTGGACTTGCAGTGAATGGCGAAAGATAGAGCAACTCGAGCAACGACTCTATCAGGTACGAATAGCAAATGGCATATCACTGTGTGAGGAGCAAAGGAATACGTCCACCAGTGTGATCCGCCCCGCCAGAAGAGGAATAGAAAAGGAATTATCGCCTGCGATGCACAGACGATGACACAGCTGAATTGCTCAGCTAACGCCATCTCTTCCCTCCGACCGAATAGTTGAGCAAAATCTGGTCATGTTGTTTTCCCACTGCATTGATACGTGAGTTGGTGCCCTTCGCAGCTCTTATTACATTCTATAACATCCTCGCACTGGCCTGCCGAGCATTTGCTCCTTCCCTCCTGAGACTTAGTCGACGAATTGCATACCGCTGGTATCACGGAATAAAGAGTAACACCGTGATAATTTATCGTTGTACCGACACTGTTATAAGTGACCTCCCTTCCCCAACTATCTTTTCATCAGTTTCAAGTTCAAACTAGAAGGCTAAATAAGGAATAACGAAAAACGTAAAACAAGGAAAAAACGAAAGGAAAAAACCGGCCCTGCACAGCTCTACGTAAAATGAATGGGATTCAAGAAAGCCTAATCGAGAAATAGAACACAATTTAAAATATAGAAAATTACTCGTAGAACGGCCACCATGGAGTTCTGAAAGCCACTTCTGAAATACGAAAGAGTTAAGAAAATAAAAACTTTCACATGGAAAATCTAAAATCACAGCACATAAATTCCCTGTGTCGGTAACCACTATAGAGTAAGAAACAATCAATATAGCAAGAACACTATTATTACGACACTGATTATGATTACTCAGTATTATTGTTTGGGTTGGTACGCGTAACCTTTTGCAGGATG